CAAAGTAGGAAAGAAACCAATAGCCAGACAACCAGAGATTGAGAACAACAACCTTCGTGAACCCTTTACATCTATTGAATTGGACATGGCTCTCAATAAAAGTAAAAATGGCAAAGCAGCTGGCCTGGATGACCTACGGATGGAACAAATCAAGAACTTTGGTCCAAAAGCAAGGCGCTGGCTGCTGGAGCTGATGAACAACTGCACTGCATCCTGTCAGATCCCCAAAATCTGGAGGAAAGCAAGAGTCATCGCCATCTTGAAGCCAGGCAAAGACCGTAATGACCCAAAAAGCTACAGACCAATCTCCCTGTTGTGCCACCTCTACAAAGTTCTGGAGAGACTTATTTTGCATAGAATTATGGAAAATATAGACCCCTGTCTGATCCCACAGCAAGCTGGCTTCAGAAAAGGCAAAAGCTGCACATCGCAAGTGCTGAACCTGACTCAGCACATAGAAGATGGCTTTGAAAGGCAGCAGATCACAGGAGCTGTCTTCATAGACCTGTCAGCAGCCTATGATACTGTGAACCACCGGCTCCTCCTGAGAAAAATGTATAATATCACAAAGGACTACCATCTCACCCGCCTCATAGGAAACCTGCTACAAAACAGGAGCTTTTTTGTTGAGTTCCAGGGCCAGAGAAGCAGATGGCGGAAACAGAAGAATGGCCTGCCTCAGGGGAGCGTGCTTGCTCCATCCATGTTCAACATCTACACAAATGACCAGCCACTGCCAGAAGGGACAGAGAGCTTCATCTATGCTGATGATCGTGCCATTACTGCTCAAGCAGGGAGCTTTGAGACTGTAGAACAGAAGCTTTCCGAAGCTCTAGGTGCTCTTACTGCCTACTACAGGGAAAACCAGCTGATCCCTAACCCATCTAAAACACAGACATGTGCCTTTCATCTCAAGAACAGAGAAGCATCCCGAGCTCTGAAGATCACCTGGGAAGGAATCCCACTGGAGCATTGCAGCGCACCCAAATACCTGGGAGTCACTCTGGACCGTGCTCTGACCTACAAGAAGCACTGCCTGAACATCAAGCAAAAAGTGGGTGCTAGAAACAATATTATACGAAAGCTGACTGGCACAACCTGGGGATCACAACCAGACACAGTGAAGACATCTGCCCTTGCGCTATGCTACTCTGCTGCTGAGTACGCATGCCCAGTGTGGAACACATCTCACCACACTAAAACAGTGGATGTGGCTCTTAATGAGACATGCCGCATTATCACGGGGTGTCTGCACCCTACACCACTGGAGAAATTACACTGCTTAGCCGGTATTGCACCACCTGACATCCGCCCGGAAGTAGCAGCCAATAGTGAAAGGATCAAGGCAGAGACATCTCCAGCTCATCCCCTGTTTGGGTATCAGCCAGCACGCCAACGACTTAAATCTAGAAATAGTTTTCTAAGATCTACAGAGACACTCGCTGGAACACCTCAGCAAGCGAGAGTCCAAAAGTGGCAGGCTCAAACCCAGAACCTCAACCAATGGCTGATACCAAATGAGAGACTCCCCCCTGGGCACACAGAAGACTGGGCGACTTGGAAGGAGCTGAACAGACTGCGCTCTGGCACCACGAGATGCAGAGCCAACCTTCAGAAATGGGGCTACAAAGTGGAATCCTCGACATGCGAGTGTGGAGAAGAGCAAACCACTGACCACCTGCTGCAATGCAACCTGAGCCCTGCCACATGCACAATGGAGGACCTTCTTGCAGCAACACCGAAGCACTCCAAGTGGCCAGATACTGGTCAAAGGACATTTAACCAGCTACCAAACTCACAAGTTGTGTATTTTTTCTGTTTGTTTGCTTTGTTCTGTTAGACTGGTTGTTCTGACACGACAAATAAATAAAATAAAATAAAATAAATAATCTCTGTTTCTTTTAAATCTTCTTCTATACTTCATCAATTTAGTTAATTTGTCCATCTCGACTAATTCATGAATCTGTTGTCATCATTCTTTGTCTTCCATTCTCTGTAATTAGGGAGATGTGCTGTGCATCTGAATGGACCCTTTGCCAAAGGTGGTGATTAAACAGTATAAAAGATAAAGCAACATATATCTATGTATCAATGTATAAGTGTTAAGTTGTTCAATAACTAAATCAATTATAACACTAAATTACACAATGCATATATTATATACAGTAAGATTTTATTGTATCAGTACCATGGGCAAAATCTATATAAACATCAATTATTCAATCAAGAAAAACATCCTTATAAACATTAAACAATAAGTTCTCATTCACAACATGTTGTGAGTTCTCAACAGTTCCTCGCTATCACTTTTTTGGAATGTTACCCCTTCTTTGCTATTTCATCCATTTAAGTTGATCTCTTCTAAGGAATTAATTAACTCGATTCAAAAGGACAACAAAAGTAGATATGCTTTAATAGCACCCAGTTACAGTAACAACAATCATTGTGTGGAATTAAAAACACTTACTACTTTCTCCTGAGGCTCTGCTCAAGGACTTTCAACAGCTGTGAGTCTGCAAGTTTTTCAAGAGCAAAAACCCATGGAGAAGCCTCCCCTTGTAAAGATACAGGTCAATAGCAGAAAACAAGAGAGATCTAATCTATTGTTCAACCCACCTGGGGAAACGGTATGTAACCTGAATATCCAAAAAAGCCTCTCTCTGAAGTAAAATTCTCTGTAAGTCTTGATGGGGTTGTGTGGTTACCTTTCCTAAAAAGCGCCAAATCTGAAGCTAGTGTGTGAGTGGGATTTCTCACTGAAATGGGAATAAAGAGTAGATTCAATGGTTTTATTTCTAAGAATTCTAATTTTTAAAGGTCTGGAGGCCATGCCTACATATAGCAGTGAACATGGACATTGTATGACATACATCACTTTCTCTGTACTGCAGTTGGTGAAACTACAAAGTTGTATGTTGAGTTGCATTGTGGGGTGTGAGAACTGTTTTACTTTAAGAGATTGAATGCAATATGCACAAAGCCCGCAACTCGTGTGGCCCCCAAGATTAGATGTGCTGATAGTATAGGGGGTTGTGAAGTCAGATCTGATCATCATAGCCCTAAGATTTTGGCTTCATTTGTTGGCTATCATTGGTACATTCTTGCATCCTGGAGTGTCACTGACCAAGTGACAGTGCTTTCTAATTATTTTCCTGATGTGGTTAACCTAAGTGACCATATCATATGGTCATTAAGTTTCCTCACCATATCGCTTAGTAAATCATTTCTATTTATGGACTTAACTTTTCTAATAGCAGTATTGATGATACTTGTGGGGTGCCCTTTTTCTTTGAATTGTTTCTCAAAAGTAATGACCTCTGGTGTGACGTCCTCAGGGGCAGTGGTGTTTTAATCTCATAAGCGTGACATAGGGTAAGCTGATTTTTAAACCATGATGTTGGCATTTATTTATCATGCAGGAGTGAACCAAACAGTTGTATTGCATTAAAAAACAATCAAGCAAAGAAAAAACAAAGCAAGCACAAAGTTTGCAAACTTGGCATTCTATTAAATGTCCTTTGATCAGTAGCTGGCCCCTTGGGGGAACATGAGAGAAGGCTCCCCACAGGATTGCATGACATCTGGGCGTCCCTTGGGCAACATCTTTGTAGACAGCTAATTCTCTCATTCCAGAAGCAACTTGCAGCATTATGGTGGCAGGTGTTGCAATGCATGATGGAATTTTATCCGTGGGTTTTCTTATTGCCTTTCTTATATACCATGACATCTAGAAAGTTTATATTTGTATGGCTATGGTTACCAGTGAATTTGATGTTATCATGTCTTGTGTTAAGCCAAGTACTAAAGAGGATCACGGGTTCCTCTGACTTGCACATTTAAAAAAATCATCGATAAACCTGCCATAATATATAATATCTGGTTAAAAAACTGTTTTTTGTGTCATTTAGGATGTGGGTTTGTTTCAAATATAAAATAAAAAGATTTGCCACTGATGGGACCATTGCGACACCAAAGATCTGTGGGTTTTAAATCTGAAAAAATTATATTCCAGGACAATGTCTAACAAATCCATTAAAATATGAGAAGCTGGTGTTTGGGGCTCATGTATGTTTAGTAATTCCAAAATTATTGTCCTAGTTCGATCTAATAGTATGTTGGTATATAATGATGTTATATCCAGAGTCATTATGATGGATTGTGGTGGTATGGTAAGGTCCTCTATGATCTTTATGAAATGTTTAGTAAGACTGTGCGAGGGGTACAAATGGTTGTAAATTATAATCCAAAAACTGTGGGAGGGCTTCCAGGACGGAGGAAGAGCCGGATACAATTGGTCTCCCTGGGGGAGGTACGATTCCTTTGTGTATTTGGGTAGAACATAAAACACTGGAGTTCTGGGATTCTTCTTTTGCAGAAATTCAAATTCCTGATCTGAGATGTATTCTAAAGTGAGTCCTTCTGCACATACTGTTCGGATTAAAAAACATATTTTGTCTGTAGGATCCTTAGTGATAGGTTTATAGAAAGAAGTGTCTCCTGAGTGTCTCTCTACCTATTTTATGCAATCTGTTTAGTTTAATAGAACTACCGCTCCTCCTTTATCTGCCTTCTTCCAGATGTGTCTTTTCATGTTGTCTAATATCTTATAGTATTCATTGCTATGGACGTCATGTTGGAACGCGTGCACATTTTGGTCTGAGACAATCTATGTCTCTTTCAAGCACCTTTTCAAATGCTCTGATGGTTGTATTATCTCTGTGTGGAAAAAAATTACTTTTGGGTTGAAAATTATTAAACAGTCTCAAATACAGAAAAGGGGTGCAAGGTAGAAAGCCAAAATAGACACTCCAGGTTGGAATGAGTTTAAAACACTGTTGTTAAGTGCTAATTCAGGGTTCACTCTAAGCAGCGATAAGTACACACAAAGCAAGGCTGATTGATGGTCTCGTGTTCCAGAGCTCTCCTGGTATATAAAGCCTGAGGTTTATTAAACAAACACAAGATAAGCCAAGACCATATTTACTTACAAAAAACCTGAATTCTTGAGTCCGGCTTTTTTTTAATCGTGTCAGAAACAATATTGCAAGTCACTTTTAGTATGAGAGAATTGGATGTCTACAAAGAATAGAGAACATACTGCAAGTTACTTATGGAGTAAAAGAATGTGACGTCTACAAAGATGTTGCCCAGGAGACACCCGGATGTGTTACCATCCTGCTGGGAGGCTTCTCTCATGTGTCCGCATGGGAAGCTAGGGCTGACAGATGGGATCTCACTCCGTCTCACGGATTCGAGCCACCAGCCTTCAAGTCAGCAGTTCAGCTGGCACAAGGGTTTAACCGGCTAAAATAATACAATTGCAGCAACACAGTCAAAGTAACAATGAACACAACTTAAGGTCAAGAGTCCAATTAATGTAGACAAGTTGAGCACGGCAGATCCAGGTCAGGAGCAAGAAGAAACTATAGCCAAGGCTACAATCCAATAGACATATTCCAGGAGTTCATTCTACGGAGGTGATAAAATAACAAGCAGGAAATCAAGAGTACAAACCGAATTCAGAGTCCCAAAGTCAAGCCAGAAATTCAGGGATAAAAACAAAGTCCTGGTTCGTAAATGAAACCAGAAGTCCGTCCAGAATTTAGAGTCAACTATTCAGGATACAATAAAGTCCAGAAAAGGGTTACATGTACATGGCTGGAGCCCAAAATTCTAACCAAGGGGCAGTAGAGCCAAGACGAGTCAAAAGAAGGAAGATATGACGTTACCTGCTACCAAGATGAAAGTTTTCCCCTGACATTAAGTCCAGTCATGGGGTTGGTGCTCATCTCTATTTCTAAGCCGAAGACATCTCCAAGGTCATGTGGCCGGCATGACTGCATGGAGCGCTGTTACAAAGAGCTCTTCTTTTTCAGAACCCTTTTATCCAGAGATCTCAGCTGCTGCTCATTTCAGCAAACCTTCACAGATCATACTAGAAGCCTGTGATGGATATCTTTGTGGAGGAGGTTAGGTGAACCTCTTGGAAGGTTGCTGCAATACTGAGAAAAGTGCCCCTCTGAGTGAGACCTGCTCCCAGTAGCCATCATAGAGTTGGAAGAGGCCTCATGGGCCATCCAGTCCAACCCCATTCTGCCAAGAATCAGGAAAACTGCATTCTAAGCACCCCTGACAGATGACCATCCAGCCTCTGTTCAAAAGCCTCCAAAGGAGGAGCCTTTCCCACACTCTGGGGCACAGAGTTCCACTGCTGAACGGCTCTCACAGTCAGGAAGTTCTTCCTAACATTCAGATGGAATCTCCTTTCTTGTAGTTTGAAGCCATTCCTCCATTCCGTCTCCAGGGCAGCAGGAAACAAGCTTGCGCCCTCCTCCCTATGACTTCCTTTCACATAACCAGTAATTTAAGCCACTCCTCATAGGGCTTGTTCTCCAGACCCTTGATCATTTTAGTCACCTTCCTCTGGACACATTCCAGCTTGTTAGTATCTCTCTTCAATTGTGGTGCCCAGAATTGGACACAATATTCCAGGTGTGGTTTAACCAAGGCGGAATAGAGGGGTAGCATGACTTCCCTGAATCTACACACTAGACTCCTATTGATGCAGGCCAAAATCCCATTGGCTTTTTCTGCCGCCACATCACATTGTTGACTCATGTTTAACTTCTTGTCCACGAGGACTCCGACAATCTTTTTCACACGTACTGCTCTCAAGCCATACTTTTCCCATTCTGTATCTTTGCATTTCTTGTATTTGTAACGATACTCCACTTAGGCAGGAAAAATGAAATGCAAAGATACAGAATGGGAGATGCATGGCTCGAGAGCAGTATGTGTGAAAAAGATCTTGGAGTCCTCATGGACAACAAGTTACACATGATTTCACCACGGCCTCACAAACTGAAGCTCTTTTCTCATTCCATGCATTTATATGGCTTCTCCCTTATGTGCATCCTTTGATAAGAATGCAGATAATTACTCTGACTGAAACGCTCTCTACATTCTATACATTTCTATGGCTTCTCCTCTGTGTGGGTCCTTTGATGGGAACTTAGACTGTAACTGTGGGTGAAGCTTTTTCCACATTCCATGCATTTATGTGGCTTTTCACCTGTGTGGGTCATTAGATGGGAACCCAAATGTCCACTCTGACTGAAACTTTCTCCACATTCCATGCATTTATATGGCTTCTCCCCTGTGTGGGTCCTTAGATGGGAACGAAGATGTCCACTCTGACTGAAGCTCTTTCCACATTCCATGCATTTATAAGGCTTCTCCCCTGTGTGGCTCCTTTGGTGGGTACGTAGCTTGTTACTCTGACTGAAGCCCTTTCCACATTCCATGCATTTATATGGCTTCTCCCCTGTGTGGGTCCAGTGATGGGAACGTAGACTGCCACTGCGACTGAAGCTTTCTCCACATTCCATGCATTTATATGGCTTCTCCCCTGTGTGGGTCCTTTGATGGGAACGTAGACTGCCACTGTGACTGAAGCTTTCTCCACATTCCATGCATTTATATGGCTTCTCCCCTGTGTGAGTCCTTTGATGGGAACGTAGATGGCCACTCTGACTGAAGCTCTTTCCACATTCCATGCATTTATATGGCTTCTCCCCTGTGTGGGTCCTTTGATGGGAATGCAGATGTCCACTCCGACTGAAGCTCTCTCCGCATTCCATGCATTTATGTGGCTTCTCTCCTGTGTGGGTTCTTTTATGGGAACGTAGATTGCCATTCCGACTGAAGCTCATGCCACATTCCATGCATTTATATGGCTTCTCCCCTGTGTGGGTTCTTTGATGGCAACGTAGACTACCACTGTGACTGAAGCTCTCTCCACATTCCATGCATTTATATGGCTTCTCTCCTGAGTGGGTCCTTAGATGTGAATGTAGTTTGTCACTGCGACTGAAGCTTTTTTCGCATTCTGTGCATTTATGTGGCTTTTCCCCTGTGTGCGTCCTTAGATGGGAACGCAGATTGTGACTGTGACTGAAGCTCTTTCCACATTCCATGCATTTATATGGTTTCTCCCCTGTGTGAGTCCTGTGATGGAAACGTAAACTGCCACTCCTACTGAAGCTTTCTCCACATTCCATGCATTTATATGGCTTCTCCCCTGTGTGGGTCCTTTGATGGGAATGCAGATGCGCACTCTGACTGAAGCCTTCTCCACATTCCATGCATTTATAGGGCTTTTCCCCTGTGTGGGTCCGTTCATGTACAGTAAGTTTACTTTTCCTATCAAATTGTTTTCCACATTCCATACACTGATGTAACTTCTCCCCTGTGTCTGATCTAGGATAGGGAGGTAGGGGACTTGCCATTCTTTTACACTTACAATTTAATTATTATGCCAGGGGTTCACACATATAACATCGTGGACAGCACAGTTTTTTAATTGCTGTAACCTTCTGCTCGCTTTCCCAAGCCTCTCTTTTTACAGCAAAATCTTATTTCCCCTCTTAACAGCAGAGGTATGTAGCTTGAAATACATTTTTTCTACTGCTTATTTTTTCATGTTGTCATTGCTGTGTATCTTGAAGTCACTTTGGACAGACAGCACTCCTCAGGCAAAGCTCTCACAAGGTGTTTCTTGCAGTACTTGTTCAGAAGTTACCTGCCAGACAAATGAGAGGAAAATCTCAGAGAAAGATCTCATGGGACGTTAAGAGGAAGTCTAGTGCTGTGGCAAACCCAGGGGAAGAGGGAAGCTGCCCATTGCCAGGTGACAAATACTTTTAACATTTGCCGAACTACGAACAATCCCTCCTCAAGTACAAAGGGGACGGTGCCCAAAGATCCTCTTTGTGTGTTCAGGGAGGGGCCCCTATAATTCTCAGCCAGGGGGGTCCTGGGCCTCTCTCAACTACAAACTCTAGAATCCTGCAGGAAACAGACACATGATTTTAAAGGGGAAGCACGCTCTTCTCCTCCTTCGAAGGCCAGATGCTAACTTTTCTGAGGCTGCAGGGATTCTTCGTCCATGTGGCTTTTGAGTCTTCTCCTTTTGAGTCCATCCTGCCCTTCTTTCTTTGCAGGCCCCTCTGCCCTCCCCTTCCTGCCTCCAGAAGGTATTGACATCCTTCCCGCCCTTCCTTTGCTCATGAATGAGGAGCAGTGAATGTGTTTATTTATTTATATATTTACTATATTTATATATGTGTTGCAGCCACCCTGGGCTCCATGGATTACCTCCAGCTCCGGACTGTGATGTGTCTGTTTTGAAAAATGTATTTTATTTTTAAAAAAATAGCTTGTGTTCCCGAAGCACAATTGTTTAGGTTTTACTATTTTAAATTGTTCTTATTAATGGCCCATCAATTGTAATTTATTTGAAAGCAAAGGCATGATAATGCAGACCTGGAGACTGGAATTGCATCAACCTCTGCACTAGGTGGAGGGGAGGGCAGCACATCATGGGCCGCAAACCACCAGTGGACCATGAAGACAAAAATCTGGCCCGCAAGCCTCCTTCCTCTTGATTTATTTTATTTCTGCTTCTTTCACACTGCCTGCCACTTGTTGACCACACCACCCACCACTCGCTGACCATCCCCGCCTGCCATTCGGTGATCATCCCCGCTCCCTTGGATAGACCATATCAGCTCTAGATTATCGAATATGGCTTTCTGTGGGTGAGCAGATGGGGACTACTGGGTGACATACATTCTGTTTCTGAAACTAGAGCTGATGTGGTCTATCCAATGCAATTTTCTAAATCAGCACCCCAAATAATCAAACCGAATCTAACGTTAACCAAGAACTGATTCGTAACCCTTTTGATACTAATGTTGGAGAGTGGTGCGTGGTAATGTGGGCCCTGGTCAAGGTGGTCTCTGGTCAGGTGGTCCCTGGTCAAAAAAGTTTGGGAACCACTGATCTAGTGCACTGATTCCCAACCTTTTTTTTTTTAACCAGGGGCCACTCTCCAAGTTTAGTACTAAAGGGGTTATGAATTATTATTATTAAACAAAATCAATAACCCATCTAAGAACATATTAACCAATTGAGCGATTCAAAAGTTGGGAGGTTGGGGGGAGGAAAAGATGGGATCAGGCCTATATAATAATGTAGAAGTTGATCTTCAAACATCATATGCTGGGTCTCAGGACAGGAGGGGAGGTATGGTCTTTCCGGGGGGGAGGGGCCACTGATTGGGATGGGGAGATACAGGAAAGGGAGATTCAAGCAATTAATTCGACCCAAAATTTATAATAGAACATTGGTTTTTCCAAAACGATCTCTTGACATGGTAAATCTGAATACCCAGGTTGGCAGTTCCTCCAGCTTAAAGGACGGTGCTGTTAAACGCCAGTTATGTTAATGGAAAAACTAACATCACCCAAGATCTAATTCTTGATGAGCAAGCAGACCTGGCATGTATAACTGAGACCTGACTGGACGAGGATGGGGGGGGGGGGGGTTGCAGTAGTCTATAGGGATTCCACCTCCTTGATCAGGTGCTCCATCCACAGTCTACCATGTTCGAGTGTGTCCACCTGTGCATTGGTGGCCGGGACAAAATAGGAATTCTGTTAGTGTACCGATCACCTCGCTGCACTACAGTCTCCCCACCTGAGCTAGCTGGGTGGTCTCGAGCCTGGTGTTGGAGTCTCATCAGCTTATAGTGCTGGGGAACTTCAAGGTCTATGCAGAGTCCACCTATCAGGAGCAGCTCAGGACTTCATGTCTTCCATGGCGACCATGAGGCTGTCCCAACTAATTGTGCCAAACACACATTAGATCTGGTTTTCTGTCAGGGATGGGAGGAAGGTGGCGGGATAGAGGAGTTAACCATCTCTCTGTTGCCATGGACCGAACACTTCCTGATCAAGTTTAGACTTACTGCACCCTTTACCCTCTGCAGGGGTGGAGGACCCATTAAGATGATCTGCCCCAGGAGGTTCATGGATCCGGATGGACTCCTGATGGCTCTTGGGGATATTCCCGCCTCCTCAGTTGGTGATCCTGTCAATGCTCTCGTCACTCACTGGTATAGGGAAATGACCAGGGCAATAGACACGATTGTTCCAGAATGTCCCCTATCAATTAGCCAAGCTAAACCATCTTCTTGGTTCAACGAGGAGCTGGCAGCAATGAAGTGAATGAAGAGGAGACTAGAGAGCCTGTGGCGGAAAAACCCTAGCGAGTCAAACTGCCATTACCTCCATTTTCTCCCGATTAATTATTAGGCCTGTTATTTTTCCAAATTGTTTTAAATGTAGGTTTATCCGGTCTAGTGCCCTATCTGGATTTCTGACTGTCAAAACCCACAAATAAGCTAATTTTGATTTTGTTGTCCACTCCCATTCCCTGTATTTTGTTGTCCACTCCCATTCCCTGTATTTTGTTGTCCACTCCCGCCTCACCCGACGCCCCGTCCCTACATTCCTCCTCCTCCTCCACCCACCCCCTCCGCGGTAGCCCCACCCCTACACTCCTCCTCCTCAGCCCCCCCGCGGAAGCCCCGCCCCACCCACCGATGCCCCGCCCCTACACTCCTCCTCCGCCCCGCCCCCACCCACCAACGCTAAAAAAATGATTTTGTCATTTGGGAGTTGTAGCTGCTGGGATTTACAGTTTACCTAAAATCAAATCAATCTGAACTCCACCAACGATGGAATTGAACCAAACGTGGCACGCAGGACTCCCATAACCCAACAGAAAACACGAGAAGAGTTAGGTAGGCATTGGGAAGGAAGAAAGGAAGGAGGGAAGGAAGGAAAGAAAGAGGTACCGAAGGAAGGAGGAAGAGAAAGTAGAAAGGAAGGAAAGGCAGGAAAGAGGTAAAGAAGGAAGGAGAAAAGGAAATAAAAAGTGAAAGAAGGAAGGAAACAGGGAGGGAAGAAAGGAGGCAAATGAAGAAAGGGGGAGGGAATGAAAGAAAGAGAGAAGGATGAAACCAAGGAGCGAAAGAAGGAAAGAAAGAAAGAGGTAGAGAAGGAAAACAAAAGAACCAATGAACGAAATCACACCAAATTTGGCTACAAAACATCTCACAACACAAGGAGTGATCATCACTCAAAAAATATGATTTTGTCATTTGGGAGTTGTAGTTGCTGGGATTTATAGTTCCCCTGCCATCAAAGAGCATTCTGAACTCCACCAATGATTGAATTGAACCAATCTTTGCACACAGGACTCCCATGACCAACAGGAAATGATCAAAGGGTTTGATGGGCATTGACGTTGAGTTGTAGTACACCTACATCCAGAAAGCACTGTGGACTCAAACAATGATGGATCTGGACCAAACTTGGCACGAATATTCCATATGCCCAAATATGAACACAGATGGAATTTGGGGGAAATAGACTTTGGCATTTGGGAGTTGTAGTTACTGGGATTTATAGGTCACCTACAATCAAAGACCATTCTGAATGAACCCCATGAATGACAGAATTGGGCCAAACTTCCCACACAGATCCCCCATGACCAACAGAAAATACGTAAGGCCATCCAGCCCAACTCCCTTCACCAGGGCAAGAAAGCCCTCCTGACAGAGAGCCATCCAGCCATAGATAGAGATATATATGATTCACACACACACAGATGAAGTATTATAGATTTGAAAGGGACTCCTAAAGATGGACAATTGCATGTTGCATGTTCCAGAGTAGGCAAACCAGACACTCTCCACATCAACACTGTCAAAGAAACATCAAGAAATACTGTTTACCCACAAGCAGAAAGACATTACATATATTAGAAACCAACACTTTCTCATTACTTTATTGTCCACATCCCCAAACTGGGCCACAGCAACGCCTGGCAGGGGACCGCTAGTCTCTCTATGACCTTGTCTGTATATTTATTTATTTACCTTACTTATATACCACTGTTCTCAGCCCGAAGGCAACTCACAGCGGTTCACAACAAATACGAACAGCAAAAATTCAGTGCTACAGTATAGAAACAGTTAACAACCTAACACATTACACAATTAATAAACAGTTACTACAATACCCATTCACTGTCGTCTCGTCATCAAAAACATGTTCCAGATTCGTCATCCATTGTTCCATTCCAGTGTTCATTAACCAATCATTGCACTGATTATTGGAACGCCTGCTCAACCAGCCAGGTCTTCACCTTTTTGCGGAATACTATTAGAGATGGTGCTAGTCTAAGTTCGGTAGGAAGGGCGTTCCACAGCCGAGGAGCCACCACCGAGAAGGCCCTATCTCTCATCCCTGCCAGCCGAGCTTGAGAAGCAGGCAGGATCGAGAGCAGGGTCTCCCCGGAAGATCTCAAAGTCCTGGTGGGTTCATAGGCAGATGTGTGTTTGTGGGTGAGGGATTCCCAATTGGCTTCCTCTTCCAGAGCCCACGGGGACCCTCACTGCTGAGGGACCCGGACCCGGCCTGGCAGGAGGACCCCATCCCCATCCCCGGGGACCCCCTTTGCCCCCAGGTGGGGTTTGTTTGGGAGGGAGCTGCAGGGCGTCCCCCCTCGCCCAGAGGCCACTGCGAAGCCCACCAGACACGGATGTGGGCCCAGCCTGGCACCCGCAGGGAACAAGGGGAGGAAGGGGGTGAGGGGGGTTGCCTTTGAAGACGGCTCGGAAGCTCCAATTAGTCCAACGGTCGGCAGCCATGATACTAACTGGAGCGGAGCGCAGGGAGCACACAACTCCTCTGCTGCACCAGCTCCACTGGCTGCCGATTTGCTACCGGGCTCAATTCAAAGTGCTGGCGTTGGCCTTTAAAGCCCTAAATGGTTCTGGCCCAACCTACCTATCCGAACGTATCTCGGCCTATCAGCCCACCAGGACCCTAAGATCTTCTGGGGAGGCCCTGCTCTCTATCCCGCCTGCTTCACAGGTGCGGCTGGCGGGGACGAGAGACAGGGCCTTTTCTGTGGTGGCCCCTCGGCTCTGGAACGCCCTTCCCATGGAGGTAAGATCAGCCTCCTCGCTGATGGTATTCCGAAGAAGACTAAAAACTTGGATGTTCAAGCAGGCATTTGGCTAATTCGGTGCAATGAATGTGTTGATTATGGATTGGTAATATGGATGATGCAATTGGACCACGATTTTAGTTAGGAGATGTATTGGATTGTGATTTCGTGTAATATTGTGTATTATGTTTTTTATGGTTTTAATTGTATACTGTGCACTGTATATTTTGTTGTAAACCGCGTTGAGTCGCCAATTAGGCTGAGAAACGGCGGTATACAAGGACAGTAAATAAATAAATAAACAAGGGGGGGGGGGGGCGGCCTTCCTTCCTTCCTTCCTTTGACAGCCTTTCCTGAGGGGAGCAGGCGGCAAGGGGAGGGTCGGAGGGAGGAGTGTCAGGGGCCTTTCCCGAGGAGGATGAAGGGAGGAATGAAGTAAGAAAGGAAGAAGAGAAGGAAGGAAGGGAGCAAGGAAGGGAGGAATGAAGTAAGGAAGGAGGGAGAGAAGGAAGAAAGGGATGGAGAAAGGGAATGAGGACGGAAGAGAGGAAGGAAGGGATGAAGGGACAGATAATGTAAGGAAGGGGGAGAGAAGGAAGAAAGGGAGAGAGAGAAGGGAAGAAAGCAAGCAAGGAAGGGAGGGAGGAATGAAGTAAGGAAGGAGTGAGAGAAGGAAGAAAGGGAGGGAGAGGAGGGAAGAAAGGGAGGAAGGAAGAGCGGAAGGGATGAAGTAAGGAAGGAGGGGAAGAAGGAAGAAAGGGAGCAAGGAAGGAAAGGATGAAGGGAGGAATGAAGTAAGGAAGGAGGGAGAGGAGGAAGAAAGGGAGGGAGAGGAGGGAAGAAAGGGAGGAAGGAAGAGCGGAAGGGATGAAGTAAGGAAGGAGGGGAAGAAGGAAGAAAGGGAGCAAGGAAGGAAGAGCGGAAGGAAGGGATGAAGGGTGGAATGAAGTAAGGAAGGAGGGAGAGAAGGAAGAAAGGGAGGGAGGAAGAGTGGAAGGAAGGGATGAAGGGGGGAATGAAGTAAGGAAGGAGGGAGAGAAGGAAGAAAGGGAGGGAGGAAGGAAGAGAGGAAGGAAGGGATGAAGGGGGGAATGAAGTACGGAAGAAAGGGAGGAAGGAAGAGCAAGGAAGGAAGAGAGGAAGAAAGGGGTGAAGGGAGGAAGGAGGGAGAGAAGGAAAGAAGGGAGGGAAAAAGAAGGGAAGGAAGAAGGAGATAAAGAAAGGGAAGGGGGAAGGAAAGAAGGGAGAAAGGGAGGGAGGGAGGCAAGGGTGCCAATGACACAAGCAGGGCCAGCCTCCCTCCCTCCTAGGCCAGCCCCTGGCTTCCCTAAGGCTCACTCCGGAGGGAAAGGAGCGCTTCCCAAACAGGGTGTGGCCAGCCCTGAGTGTAGACTCCCTCCCTCCCTTCCTTCCTTCCTTCCAAGGCGGATTCCCAGGCTGAGCCCGACTCCCCAGCACAGGCCTCCCTCCCTCCTTGGGCCTCCCCTTCCTCCTCCTCTTCTCTGAGGGAATCCCAGGAGGAAGCCAGGCCACAAGCTGGCCGCCAAGGAGTCTCAGGAGAGTCTTATGCCCATGCCATCCTTCCCTCCCACACTCCCGAGTAGGCCTTTCTCCCCTCACCTTCCACTCACACACTGATCCCGGGAAGCGTGGCTGCCTCTCCCTCGGCTAGGCCCAACCGGAAGAAGCGCCGCTCTCTCTCACTTCCGCCCGCGGAGGCCTGCCCCCCTTCCCTCTGTCTCCAACGGCCTGGCCGTGACGTGACCCCGGAGGCCTACTTCCGCCCGGCACTGTCATGGCGGAAGGAGGCGTGCGCCCAAAGAGGGGCGGGGCTTGGCCTTAAAGGAGCCGCGCTGCAGGAAGGAGGCTGGGAGGCAGACACAGGCTGCATTTCCTCCCGAAGAGGCCTGGCCTCTCTCTCCTTCCTGGCCCAGCCTGGGGAGGGAGGGAGGGGTCCCTGCGGAGGGAGAGGGGGGGAGGAAGGCTGGCAAGGGAGGGAGGCTCCTCTCTCTCTCTCTCTGGGGGGCCAATGGTTCAGGAGCTCTCACAGGCACAACATGCATCCCTGGATTTTTGCTGTGAATGGTTTCCTGGCCAGGTTCCAGAAGCATTCTCTCCTGACATTTTTCCTACATCTCTCTCTGGCTGAAGGAATCCTCTGAGGTTGGGAGGGAGGCCAAAGGGGAGGGCCAGGGACCGGCCAGGTCCCCAGGTGTGTTTTTGGCCTTCAACTCCCAGAAACCCCAACAGCTGGTAAACTGGCTGGCATTTCTGGCAGTTGTAGGCCAAAAACATCTGGGGACCCCAGGTTGAGAACCACTGGGCCACGGTGTCTTGGCACCTCAGAGAGGGAGGCTCCTCTCTCTCTCTCTCTGGGAGGTCAATGGTTCAGAAGCTCTCCTAGGCACAACATGCATCCCTGGGTTGTTGTGAATGGTCTTCCGGGCTACCTGGCCAGGTTCCAGAAGCATTCTCTCCTGACATTTTCCCTACATCTATCTCTGGCTGAAGGCATCCTCAGAAGTTGGGAAGGAACAATGGCTTCAAACTACAAGAGAGGAGATTCCATCTGAACATGAGGAAGAACTTCCTGACTGTGAGAGCTGTTCAGCAGTGGAACTCTCTGCCCCTGAGTGTGGTGGATGCTCCTTCTTTGGAAGCTTTTAAACAGAGACTGGATGGCCATCTGTCAGGGGTAATTTGAATGCAATATTCCTGCTTCTTGGCAGAATGGGGTTGGACTGGATGGCCCATGAGGTCTCTTCCAACTCTAGGATTCTATGATTCTAAGGAGGCCTGTTGCAAACTGGGCAAGTGGAGTTCACATACATCCCTGTGGAGTTATGCCGAGGGTGGAAGGAAGAAAGAACACAGATATATAAACCCATTTTTCCTACTTCCAACAGATCTCACTACCTCTGAGGATGCTTGCTATAGATGCAGGCGAAACGTCAGGAGAAAAATTGCCTCCAGAACATGGCCATATAGCCCGGAAAAACCTACAACAACCAAGAAGAAAGAACTCCTGTCTGTTGGAGGCAAGCGTGGATGTTTCCATTGATCACATTCATTCGCATTGAATGGCCTTGCAAGTCCAAAGCCTGGCTGCTTCCTGCCTGGCTTCCCACAGATATGTCAACCCCACTTGCCTGCTTTCCCACAGACCTCACTCCTCTGAGGATGCCTGCCATACACAGGTGTGTGTGGGAATGCTTCTGGAACATGGCCACACAGCCCAGAAGACTCTCAGCAACCCAGTGATTCCGGCCATGAAAGCTTTCGACAACAAAATGCAGAAAATCAATGGCTATTAATGTGAAAACTCAGTGAATGCAAAACCCAGAGACTCCGTGGCCAGGACTGGGATTTCGTCTGGATGAGAAGAGGCCTCTCCCTTTCCAGGAGACCTTCTCTCGTGGCCTGGCCAGGCTCTGAGTGCTCAGGAGGCGAGGAAGGGGATGCGGGGAGAGACCCAGGGCCCAGAGTTCCACCATTTGGAAGCCCCTGAAAGCCTCAGGAGGAGATACCTGGCAAGGGAACCCCAAACCTTTCATAAATGTATGGAACAGTATTTTGGGGTCTGCTGTATTCAGAGTGTCTCAAATGTATGGTGGAGGCCCCTGTTCCCCTTCCCTTCTATGTACATCCAACCCTGGGAATGGAGAGTCCAGTACCATCAGTAAACACCCCTCTAGCGATCTCCCAGCCTAGACATGGAATCCCTTTTGTGTGTGAGTGACAGACAGACAGACAATCCCTTTATCAGTTCGGCTGTTTTGCACTGTTTACCTGGCCAGGTATGTCCAGAGGTTTAGGGTTCTCACAGAAGAAAAAGCTAAGCAAAGATGAATAAATTAGCCTTTTGAATGGGTACCTGGCCCTCTGGCATGATCACCTTTTGTCTTCTGTGCCTGGCACGGTTGCCTTCTTCAGAAGTAGACATTAGGTCAACCAAGGAATCATCTGCACACCCACACCATCTCCCTCATCAGATTGATGTCCTCCGCAGGGTGTCCTCACAACGGAATGGACCTTTAAACCCTCCAAGAATTGGCCGTTCTTCCTGCCATGGGAACCTCTCCTTCCCATTGTGATGCCAATGGAACTCCCACCAATCATGCTGCGGATCCTAGCTGGCTCATATCATAACCCATCCGGAGGGAGGCATGGAAGGTCTGAATAGCTGCGAAAGCGTACTGAAAGTCATGATTTTCTCTGTGAAGTTATGCTTGTGCATCTTTGAGTGGTATCCATTTTGGCCAAATTGTGATGAACCTCTGTTGTTGGCCTTCAAACCTGAATAACTTGTTCTCTGTCCTGGCCGATCTGATTTAGTGGAACCTCACCAGGCATCTAAGGTTATTGGGCGCTGTTTTAAGTATAAATAATTGTTTTATATGCTTGTGGTTTTCTCTTTTCTTGTATTGTATGTTTATTTTTTGCGTTGTTCCAGGCACATTGTGCCGTATGTAAGCCACCTCGAGTCCCTTCAGGAAGATGGAGGCAGGGTACAAAAATAAAGTTATTATTATGGACCCGCTCTATGTGGTTTCTACTGAGATCACTACAAAAGGAGAGGAAGTGGGAGTCCCAGGAAAAGGACGTCCCTCCTCAGGAGGCCCAAAACAACCCAAATTTCCCAAATCTGTAAACAACCGGGGTCTCTCTTTATCTGGCCTCCCTCCAAGACTCCTGAGGTCTTCCTGTGGGGAGGGATTATGGGAGCTGGAGTCCAAAGACACAACTCTGGACTTATAATGTAACAGCACAGGACTCTTTATGACATTTTGACATTGGATTAATATATACCTCATCAACTGCTACCATCAGAAAGTGGTGGCAGATAATCAATCTATATTTTCCTTGTTTCTTTCTAAATCCATATCTACATGGATGAACACAATCACATGTGACCTCACGAGGAAGAAAGCCTATACTTTAAAGATCTTGGGAGACATATTTGTTTGGACTACAAGTCCCAGGGTTCTCCAACCCTTCTGCCAGGCCTTTTTGTAGGGTTTATGTGTGTTGTAGTTCAAGAGAGCCATTCCCTCATATTTCCATATGTGGTGGACCTGTGAAAGAGCAAAAGAATATTGGACAATGGTACATATTGAGTGAATAGGCGAACATAGGAATATGGAACAATTGGATGATGAGACTGGATTTCGATTTTAACTATGAGACGCTAATGAGATGTTTTATTGATTTATATTGACTGTATGCTACTGTTTTAATTGTTTTAACTGTTTTCTCGTGTTTTTTGGGGCATTTAATTTTGCTATTGAGTCGCTCAAGGGCTGAGAAGAGCAGTATACAAATATAGTTAATAATAATAATAATAATAATAATAGTAACAACAACAACAAATGTCTAGATGTCATCGGAGTTTGCGAAAATATTAGAAAGTTCACCGAAAATGTGATGAAACAATGGAAAACTGAGTTGTTCATGGGCAACGAAAGCAATGGAACTGTTAACATCAAGAGAGGAATTTTCCATGGCAACTCAAAGTCACCACTGTTGTTCATTATTGCACTGATCGCACTGTCAGTAATTCTACAGAAAACAAACCTAGGCTATCAAACAGCAAGAAATTCACCAAAAATCTCTCACTTGCTGTACATGGATGATCTAAAGCTTTACGGAAAATCAGAAACTGAAATCGAGTCACTGACCGCCAAAGTCAGAATGTTCAGCACAGAGATAGTATGGAGTTCGGCCTAGACAAATGTGCCACAGTGACATTAAAAAAAGGAAAAATTACACAAAGCGAGGGCATAGAGATGCCAAACGGACAAACCACAAAGTGCAATCAGCCTGAAGCCTATAAATATCTGGGCATACTATAACTGGACAATATCAAGCATGGGCAAGTGAAAAATGTGGTCAGCAAAGAATATATCCAAAGAGTCAGAAAGGTTTTGAAGAGCAAATTAAATGGTGGAAATACATCAAGGCTCTCAACACCTGGGCCATCCCCATCATTAGATACACTGCTGAAATTGTGAACTGAACACAAGTAGAGCTGGATGATCTGGACAGAAAAACAAGGAAACGGATGACAATCCACTGCTGAAATTGTGAACTGAACGCATTACACCCACGTAGTGATGTAGACAGACTTTACCTGCCCAGAAAATCAAGAGGCAGAGGGCTTCTGCAAGGGAAACAAATGGTAGAAGAAGAAGAGAAACACGCCCTGGCAGATGATGTGAAAGGCAGTCAAGAACCAACATTGAGGGAAGTCAAGAGTAGTAAACTGCTTAAAGTGCAAAAGAGAAAGAGGGAATATCGTAAAACCACAATCCAGAGCAGAAGAGAAAACTGGCAAAAGAAGGCTCTCTCTCCATGGACAGTTTCTGGGAAAAATTGAGAGCCAAATTGACAAAGAAAAAACATGGCTGTGGCTCACAAATGGAACCCTGAAAAAGGAGAGAAAGGAGGGCCTGATTCTGGCAGCCCAAGAACAAGCCATTCGAACCAAGGCCATCCAAGCCAGAATTGAAAAGTCGACGACAGATCCCAAATGTAGACTCTGCAAGGAAGCAGATGAAACAATAGATCACATCCCGAGCTGCTGCAAGAAGATCGCGCAGACAGACTACAAGCAGAGGCACAACACCGTTGCTCAGGCGATTCATTGGAACTTGTGCCACAAAGACCATCTGCCTGCGACAAAGAACTGGTGGGATCACAAGCCAGAAAAAGTTACAGAGAATGAACGCGCCAAACTCGTCTGGGACTTCCGGATTCAGACGAACAGAGTTTTGGAGCACAATACTCCTGACCTCACAATCGTGTTAAATAACAAAATATGAATCATTGATGTCACAATCCCAGGTGACAGGAGGATTGAAGAGAAACAACTGGAAAAGCTGACACAATATGAGGATTTAAAAATCGAACTGCAAAGACTCTTGCATAAGCCAGTCAAGGTGGTCCCAGTGGTGATTGGCACACTGGGTGCAGTGCCTCAAGACCTTGGCCTGCACTTAAACACAATTGGCGCTGACAAAATTACCATCTGCCAGCTGCAGAAGGAGACCTTACTGGGATCTGCATGCATTATTTGCCGATACATCGCACAGTCCTAGACACTTGGGAAGTGTCCGACGTGTGATCCAATTCAACAGCCAGCAGCGTGTCTGCTGTGGACTCATCTTGTTGTGTTTCAAATAATAATAATAATAGTGCGGTTTTCTGGCATTGTATATTTCTGCCGCTTCTGTGATGTTTCATTTGTATTTTGATTCTGTAGCCCACTTGTCGATGGATGTCCAGAATCAGCAGCGTCCACTACGGTCCTTTTTACCCTGGGCGTCGACTGAGCCAGTATAGACTTTGCTTTGGTTTGCTTCTCCATAGTGCTAAAGGGTTAGGTGCTCTTGCTTCTACTCCTCAGATGAGACCTCTCTGTCTTGGTTGGACCTGCTGGTAGTTACACTACCGCCAGCACAGCTCTCAGCATCCTTGGAGCAGTAAAGCCCCCCACCACAACAAGGTGGCACCCATTGGGGTGGGGGCTTAACCAATGCAATTAAGGCCAGGATTGAAAAATCAGTGGATGACCCAAAACTCAGACTGTGCAAGGAAGCTGATGAAACCATGGGTCATATCCTCAGCTGTTGCAAGAAAATCGCACAGCTGGACTACAAACAAAGACACAACTCTGTAGCCCAGATGATTCACTGGAACTTATGTCACAACTTATGTACCACCTGCTAGCAGGAAAGAATTGGTGGGATCTTAAACCCGCAAAGGTCGTGGAAAATGAACACGCAAAAATACTGTGGCACTTACGAATCCAGACTGACAAAGTTTTGGAACACAATACACCAGACATCACGATTGTGGAAAAGAAAAAAGTCTGGATGATTGATGTCGCCATTCCAGGTGACAGTCGCACTGAGGAAAAACAACAGGAAAAACTGAGCCGCTATCAAGACCTCAAAATCGAACGGCAAAGGCTCTGGCATAAACCAGTCCAGGTGGTCGCAGTGGTCATTGGCATATTGGGTGCCGTGCCAAAAGATCTCAGCCAGCACTTGGAAACAATAAACATCGACAAAATCACGATCTGTCAACTGCAAAAGGCCACCTGACCTGGATCTGCGCGCATCATTCGAAAATACATCACACAGTCCTAGACGCTTGGGAAGTGTTCGACTTGTGATTTTGTGATACGAAATCCATCATGTAGATTTCGTTTGCTGTGACATACTGTGCTTTTGTGTCAATAATAATAATAATAATTTAAAATGTGACTTTTTAGTGAAACCAGAGCTTTATCTTTTAGGAATGTTCGGGAGGGAGACCTTTAAAGACATTAATCTGGATAAACTCTTCCCCTTTTTCGTTATGGCAGCGAGAATGGTTTTTGCAAAATCATGGAAATTGGACTCAATCCCCTCCAAACTGCAATAGATAGATAAAATAATAGAATTAAAGAACATGGACGAATTGACATTTTTGTTAAGAAAAAATAATGGTAGAGGTGTGAAACGAAGGGACTGGGCAACCTTCGATGAAAACCTAAGCAATGAGAAGAATAATTAAGTACAGTATAAAACTGCTTACGCGAGGGAAAGCTTATATTCCTGGAATTACACAGTGACAATTTTTACTTGGTTGGGGTTATTAGTAAGAAGAATGGAAGTCAACAAACTCTTTTATTTTCTGTTTGATTGGACTGGACGTATGTAGGGTTTTTTTGTTTCTTTTCTTTTTCCTAGGTTTTAGGTTAAATAATTTCTATTATTATATAAATGTGTGTGTGTCTTTTTTCTCTTTCTCCCCTCTTTTTCCCACTTTTCTAATATAAAATTGTCCTCACACTTCTGATGTATCTTTTTCTATTTCGCTCCCTTCTTTTGGAGCAATCTCCTTTTCCAAATAAAAATTATTGAAAAGAAGAGAGCCATTCCCTCCACTCTCTGGACCAGGGATTCCCACGCTCTATTCCTCCAGGATTTCTTGGACTTCAACACCCAGAACCTCAGCTGTCTTGGCCCAAGATCAAGGATTTTTGGACATGGAGTCCCCAGGAAGTGGACGGCCAGGGCTTGGGAAGGGAGGCTCCGGAGAAGGGACAATGCTTCCATGGCTGAACTGGTCTTCCCAACAGGAATCATAGAATCAAAGAGTTGGAAGAGACCTCATGGGCCATCCAGTCCAACCCCATTCTGCCAAGAAGCAGGAATATTGCATTCAAATCACCCCTGACAAATGGCCATCCAGCCTCTGCTTAAAAGCTTCCAAAGAAGGAGCCTCCACCACACTCCGGGGCAGAGAGTTCCACTGCTGAACGGCTCTCACAGTCAGGAAGTTCTTCCTAATGTTCAGATGGAATCTCCTCTCTTGTAGTTTGAAGCCATTGTTCCGCGTCCTACTCTCCAGGGAAGCAGAAAACAAGCTTGCTCCCTCCTCCCTGTGGCTTCCTCTCACATATTTATACATGGCTATCATATCTCCTCTCAGCCTTCTCTTCTTCAGGCTAAACATGCCCAGCTCCTTAAGCCGCTCCTCATAGGGCTTGTTCTCAGACCCTTGATCATTTTAGTCGCCCTCTTCTGGACACATTCCAGCTTGTCAATATCTCTCTTGAATTGTGGTGCCCAGAATTGGACACAATATTCCAGGTGTGGTCTAACCAAAGCGAATAGAGGGGTAGCATGACTTCCCTAGATCTAGACTCTATGCTGCTCTTGATGCAGGCCAAAATCCCATTGGCTTTTTTTGCCGCCACATCACATTGTTGGCTCATGTTTAACTTGTTGTCCACGAGGACTCCAAGATCTTTTTCACACGTACTGCTCTCGAGCCAGGCGTCACCCATTCTCTATCTTTGCATTTCATTTTTTCTGCCAAAGTGGAGTATCTTACATTTGTCACTGTTGAACTTCATTTTGTTAGTTTTGGCCCATCTCTCTAATCTGTCAAGATCGTTTTGAATTCTGCTCCTGTCCTCTGGACTATTGGCTATCCCTCCCAAATGCTTCCTAATGTTTAGGTGGAAGCTTCTTTCCTGCAATGTGAATCAGTTGCTTTATATTTTAGTCTCCAGGGCAGCAGGAAAAACTTGCCCTTTTCTCCTCAATGGGACATCCTTCCAAATAGTGGCTCTCTGTCCACTCAGCCTTTTTCCCCCTCCAAACTAAACATCCCCAGCTCCTTCAGCCATTCCCAATAGCCCTTCTGTGGAGAGATTCTAGCATCTCAAAATTTTGCTTGAATTGTGCAGCCCAGAACTGGACGCAGGGCCATTTCAGGGGAGGCCTGATCCAAGTCTAGAAGAGAGTCGACTAAACTTGCCCGGATCTAGACCTCACCCTCCCATTGGGACAGCCTTGAATCACACTAGCTTTTTTAAGCTGATGTATCACACTTTATTTAAAAAGCAATTTTATTCAAAGAAAAAACAAAAACAAAACAAAGCATGTTTATACAAATGACAGTTTTGCCATTCATGTTTTATTTTAAAAAAATTATTACTTTGGAATTTTTTTAAAGGACTACTTAACAAACATAGAGCGAACAAGGACACACACCTTGCACAATAAGAACAAAACTAACGAACAAACACTAGTCTATGAAACAAACACTCGCTCTATGATTTTTATCTCTATTTCCTTGAAATGCTGTTCAATAATTCATCCATTCAGTTAATATGACCATCTCAACTGATTCATGAGTCTAGTTACATCTTGCGTGGACTACTGCAACACTCTCTATGTGGGGCTGCCTTTGAAGACAGTTTTGCCATTCATGTTTTCTTTTTAAAAAATTATTACTTTGGATTTTTTTAAAGGACTACTTAACAAACATAGAGCGAACAAGGACACACACCTTGCACAATAAGAACAAAACTAACGAACAAACACTAGTCTATGAAACAAACACTCGCTCTATGATTTTTATCTCTATTTCCTTGAAATGTTGTTCAATAATTCATCCATTCAGGAAGCCCTCCTCTTGTTCCCACCACCGTCCCAAGTGAGGATGGTGGGAACGGGGGGGGGGGGGGGGGGGGGGGGGGGGGGGGGGGGGGGGGGGGGGGGGGGGCTTCCCTTTCTCTGGAACTCCTTCCCTAAAATACTAAAACCCATTTATGCACGTTAGGTTATGGAGAGGAGGAGGACATCTTTATATATATCCTTGTCCAGATATTGGATACCTACCTCAGCTCCTCAAAAGCCATAAACTACTTTATGCTTTTAAAGTCTTCTTAATCTAACGTAACATTTGGGGAGGGGGGGGGGGTTAATCATGGTAAATTCCATGCATTTATATGGCTTCTCTCTTATGTGCGTCCTTTGATAGGAATGCAGATACATACTCTGACTGAAACTTTCTCCACGTTGTATGCATTTCTAAGGCTTCTCCCCTGTGTGGGTCCTTTGATGGGAACGTAGACTGCCACTGCGACTAAAGCTCTTTCCACATTCCATGCATTTATATGGCTTCTCCCCTGTGTGGGTCCTTTGATGGGTACGGAGGCTGTCACTGTGACTGAAGCTCTTTCCACATTCTGTGCATTTATGTGGCTTTTCTCCTGTGTGGGTCCAGTGATGGGAACGTAGCCTGTAACTCTGACTGAAGCTCTTTCCACATTCCATGCATCTGTATGGCTTCTCCCCTGTGTGGGTCCTGTGATGAGAGCGCAGGTGTCCACTATGACGGAAGCTTTCTCCACATTCCATGCATTCATATGGCTTCTCCCCTGTGTGGATCCTTTGATGGGAACGTAGCCTGTAACTCTGACTGAAGCTCTTTCCGCATTCCATGCATTTATAAGGTTTCTCTCCTGTGTGAGTCCTTTGATGGGAACGTAGACTGTCACTGCGACTGAAACTTTCTCCACATTCCATGCAGTTATGTGGCTTCTCCCCTGTGTGGGTCCTTTGGTGGGAATGTAGTTTGTCACGGCGATTGAAGCTCTTCCCACATTTTGTGCATTTATATGGCTTGTCCCCTGTGTGGGTCATTTGATGGGAATGTAGATGGTCACTGCGAATGAACCTTTCTCCACATTCCATGCATTTATGTGGCTTTTCCCCTGTGTGGGTCCTTACATGGGAATGTAGACTGTCACTGCGACTGAAGCTCTTTCCACATTCCATGCATTCATATGGCCTCTCCCCTGTGTGCTTCCTGTGATGGGAACGTAGAGTGCTACTCTGACTGAAGCTTTTTCCACATTCCATGCATTTATAGGGCTTCTCCCCTGTGTGGGTCCGTTCATGTACATTAAGATTACTTTTGCTTTTAAATTGTTTTCCACACTCCATACACTGATATAACTTCTCCCCTGAGTCTGACCTAGGATAGGGAGGTAGGGAACTTGCCATTCTTTTCCACTTATAATTCAAATATGATGCCAGGGGTTCACAGATATAACCTCCTGAACAGCACCGTTTTTGTATTGCGGTAGCCTTCTGCTCGCTTTCCCAGGCCTCTCTTTTTACAGCACAATCTCATTTCCCCCCTTAACAGCTTGTAATATAATTGTCTACTACTTATTTTTTTCTTGTTGTTATTGCTGTGTATCTTGAAGTCACTTTACAGCTCTCCTCGGGCAAAACTCTGACAAGGTGTTCTTCGCAGAACTTGTTCAAAAATTACCTGCGAGGCAAATGAGAGGAAAATCTCTTCAGGAGTTGAACGAAGAAAGATCTCATGGAACATGAAGAGGAAGTCTAGTGCTATAGCAAACCAAAAGGAAGAGGGAAGGTGCCCATTGATTGGTGACAATGGAGAGAAGGGAGGAAGGAAGGAAGGATGAAGGGGAGAATGAAGTAAGGAAGGAGGGAGAGAAGCAAGAAAGGGAGGGAGGAGGAGCAGATGTGTGGAAGGCAGGTAGGGATGAAGGAAGGGATGAAGGAGGGAGAGAAGGGAGGAAGGAGAGGAGGAAGAAAGGATGAAGGGGAGAATGAAGTAAGGAAGGAGGGAGAGAAGCAAGGAAGGGAGGAAGGGAGGAGGAGCAGAAGTGTGGAAGGCAGGTAGGGATGAAGGAAGGGATGAAGGAAAGGAAGAAGGAGGGAGAGAAGGGAGGGAGGAGGGGAGGAAGAAAGGATGAAGGGGAGAATGAAGTAAGGAAGGAGGGAGAGAAGCAAGAAAGGGAGGAAGGGAGGAGGAGCAGAAGTGTGGAAGGCAGGTAGGGATGAAGGAAGGGATGAAGGAAAGGAAGAAGGAGGGAGAGAAGGGAGGGAGGAGGGGAGGAAGAAAGGATGAAGGGGAGAATGAAGTAAGGAAGGAGAGAGAAAAGCAAGAAAGGGAGGAGGAGCAGAAGTGTGGAAGGCAGGTAGGGATGAAGGAAGGGATGAAGGAAAGGAAGAAGGAGGGAGAGAAGGGAGGGAGGAGGGGAGGAAGGAAAGGATGAAGGGGAGAATGAAGTAAGGAAGGAGAGAGAAAAGCAAGAAAGGGAGGAGGAGCAGATGTGTGGAAGGCAGGTAGGGATGAAGGAAGGGATGAAGGAAAGGAGGAAGGAGGGAGAGAAGGGAGGAAGGAGAGGAGGAAGAAAGGATGAAGGGGAGAATGAAGTAAGGAAGGAGGGAGAGAAGCAAGGAAGGGAGGAAGGGAGGAGGAGCAGAAGTGTGGAAGGCAGGTAGGGATGAAGGAAGGGATGAAGGAAAGGAAGAAGGAGGGAGAGAAGGGAGGGAGGAGGGGAGGAAGAAAGGATGAAGGGGAGAATGAAGTAAGGAAGGAGAGAGAAAAGCAAGAAAGGGAGGAGGAGCAGAAGTGTGGAAGGCAGGTAGGGATGAAGGAAGGGATGAAGGAAAGGAAGAAGGAGGGAGAGAAGGGAGGGAGGAGGGGAGGAAGAAAGGATGAAGGGGAGAATGAAGTAAGGAAGGAGGGAGAGAAGCAAGAAAGGGAGGAAGGGAGGAGGAGCAGAAGTGTGGAAGGCAGGTAGGGATGAAGGAAGGGATGAAGGAAAGGAAGAAGGAGGGAGAGAAGGGAGGGAGGAGGGGAGGAAGGAAGAATGAAGGGGAGAATGAAGTAAGGAAGGAGAGAGAAAAGCAAGAAAGGGAGGAGGAGCAGATGTGTGGAAGGCAGGTAGGGATGAAGGAAGGGATGAAGGAAAGGAGGAAGGAGGGAGAGAAGGGAGGAAGGAGAGGAGGAAGAAAGGATGAAGGGGAGAATGAAGTAAGGAAGGAGGGAGAGAAGCAAGGAAGGGAGGAAGGGAGGAGGAGCAGAAGTGTGGAAGGCAGGTAGGGATGAAGGAAGGGATGAAGGAAAGGAAGAAGGAGGGAGAGAAGGGAGGGAGGAGAGGAGGAAGAAAGGATGAAGGGGAGAATGAAGTAAGGAAGGAGAGAGAAAAGCAAGAAAGGGAGGAGGAGCAGAAGTGTGGAAGGCAGGTAGGGATGAAGGAAGGGATGAAGGAAAGGAAGAAGGAGGGAGAGAAGGGAGGGAGGAGGGGAGGAAGAAAGGATGAAGGGGAGAATGAAGTAAGGAAGGAGGGAGAGAAGCAAGGAAGGGAGGAAGGGAGGAGGAGCAGAAGTGTGGAAGGCAGGTAGGGATGAAGGAAGGGATGAAGGAAAGGAAGAAGGAGGGAGAGAAGGGAGGGAGGAGAGGAGGAAGAAAGGATGAAGGGGAGAATGAAGTAAGGAAGGAGGGAGAGAAGCAAGAAAGGGAGGAAGGGAGGAGGAGCAGAAGTGTGGAAGGCAGGTAGGGATGAAGGAAGGGATGAAGGAAAGGAAGAAGGAGGGAGAGAAGGGAGGGAGGAGAGGAGGAAGAAAGGATGAAGGGGAGAATGAAGTAAGGAAGGAGAGAGAAAAGCAAGAAAGGGAGGAGGAGCAGAAGTGTGGAAGGCAGGTAGGGATGAAGGAAGGGATGAAGGAAAGGAAGAAGGAGGGAGAGAAGGGAGGGAGGAGGGGAGGAAGGAAGAATGAAGGGGAGAATGAAGTAAGGAAGGAGAGAGAAAAGCAAGAAAGGGAGGAGGAGCAGATGTGTGGAAGGCAGGATGAAGGAAAGGAGGAAGGAGGGAGAGAAGGGAGGAAGGAGAGGAGGAAGAAAGGATGAAGGGGAGAATGAAGTAAGGAAGGAGGGAGAGAAGCAAGGAAGGGAGGAAGGGAGGAGGAGCAGAAGTGTGGAAGGCAGGTAGGGATGAAGGAAGGGATGAAGGAAAGGATGAAGGAGGGAGAGAAGGGAGGGAGGAGGGGAGGAAGAAAGGATGAAGGGGAGAATGAAGTAAGGAAGGAGGGAGAGAAGCAAGAAAGGGAGGAAGGGAGGAGGAGCAGAAGTGTGGAAGGCAGGTAGGGATGAAGGAAGGGATGAAGGAAAGGAAGAAGGAGGGAGAGAAGGGAGGGAGGAGAGGAGGAAGAAAGGATGAAGGGGAGAATGAAGTAAGGAAGGAGAGAGAAAAGCAAGAAAGGGAGGAGGAGCAGAAGTGTGGAAGGCAGGTAGGGATGAAGGAAGGGATGAAGGAAAGGAAGAAGGAGGGAGAGAAGGGAGGGAGGAGGGGAGGAAGAAAGGATGAAGGGGAGAATGAAGTAAGGAAGGAGGGAGAGAAGCAAGGAAGGGAGGAAGGGAGGAGGAGCAGAAGTGTGGAAGGCAGGTAGGGATGAAGGAAGGGATGAAGGAAAGGAGGAAGGAGGGAGAGAAGGGAGGGAGGAGGGGAGGAAGAAAGGATGAAGGGGAGAATGAAGTAAGGAAGGAGGGAGAGAAGCAAGAAAGGGAGGAAGGGAGGAGGAGCAGAAGTGTGGAAGGCAGGTAGGGATGAAGGAAGGGATGAAGGAAAGGAAGAAGGAGGGAGAGAAGGGAGGGAGGAGGGGAGGAAGAAAGGATGAAGGGGAGAATGAAGTAAGGAAGGAGAGAGAAAAGCAAGAAAGGGAGGAGGAGCAGATGTGTGGAAGGCAGGTAGGGATGAAGGAAGGGATGAAGGAAAGGAGGAAGGAGGGAGAGAAGGGAGGGAGGAGAGGAGGAAGAAAGGATGAAGGGGAGAATGAAGTAAGGAAGGAGAGAGAGAAGCAAGGAAGGGAGGGAGGAATGAAGGGAGGTCCAATGACACAAACAGTGCAAGCCTCACTCCCAGAGCAGCTGGCATCTGTAAAGCACACTTTTGAAGCAAGCACATTTCAAAACATAGCATAATCATCATCATCATCATCATCATCATCATCATCATCATCATCATCATCTGTATTTATACCCTGCCACCATCTCCCCAAGGGACTCGGAGCGGCTTACATGAGGCCAAGCCCAACAACACATCAATAAAAGCAACAAGCAATAAACAAAACAAACAATACACTTAATATAACTGGTATATGGAAAAACACATAGAGATTTAAAAACCTAAGGCCGGCCCAAATGTAGTAGTTAAAACTTTAAAATAAATGCTGAACATGAACAGAGGTAGGATGGGGGCGAAATGTCAGGAGAGAATGCTTCTGGAGCATGGCCTGGCAGCCCAGAAAACCCACAGCAACCTGATGATGCTTATTTGTTGTCCATCCCTCCAGCTTGCAACATTGCAAAACACACTCACATACCCCCCCCCCCCCCCAAATCCTTAAAATACACCTCTTAAAACAATGGTTGAAGTGACTGGACTGACCTTGAAGGAGCTGGGGGTGGTGACGGCCGACAGGGAGCTCTGGCGTGGGCTGGTCCATAAGGTCACGAAGAGTCGGAGACGACTGAACGAATGAACAACAAAAACAATGGTTCTCAACCCCCAACCATAAAATTAGTTCCATTGCTACTTCATAACTGTCATTTTGCTGCTGTTATGAATATTAATGTAAATATCTGATATGCATGATGTGTTTTCATACACTGGACCAAATTGTGCACAAAGACCCAATACACCCAAATTTAAATACTGGTGGGATTGGGGGAAGGTATTGATTTTGTCCTGTGGGAGTTGTAGTTGCTGGGATTTATAGTTCACCTACAATCAAAGAGCATTCTGAACTCAAACCAACGATGGAATTGAATCAAACTTGGCACACAGAACTCCCATCACCAACAGATAATACTGGAAGGCCATGGAGGGCACTTGACCTTGAGTTTTGGAGTTGTAGTTCACCTACATCCAGAGAGCACTGTGGACTCAAACAATGATGGATCTGGACCAAACTTGGCACGAATTCTCAATATGCCCAAATGTAAACACTAGTGGGGTTTGGGGGAAATAGACCTTGACACTTGGGAGTTGTAGTTGCTGGGATTTATAGTTCACCTACAATCAGACTATTCTGAACTCTACCAACAATGGAATTGAACCAAACTTGGCACACAGTTCTCCCATGACCAACAGATAATACTGGAAGG